TCTCTCTCTCTCTCTCTCTCTCTCTCTCTCTCTCTCTCTCTCTCTCTTTCTTTGAAATTTAGCGCCATCGTCTTCAATGCCTCTCTGAAAATCCTTTAGCAAGAGTGTGAGAGAAAGAGAGGAGAGCGCGCTCCAGGGAGAGGAGCAAAGAAGATGAGGATTATTTGCAGGCAGATTGTCTTGTTGTTTTCTGGATTTTGGGGACTCGCCATGGGAGCCTTTCCGAGCAGCGTTCAAATAGGTAAGAAGCCGGGCTGGGGAAGAGGTGCATGTGGCTGAAGTGATGTAAATGAGTTGCCGATGAGGAATCCTACAAGGCGCCTTCTTTCCTCTACAAACAGACCTTCTCGATGCAAGTTCAGATAGACACAGGCTAGCACACCCAATACTGACTCAAGTTCCTTCTTGCTCTACAGTAGGTTAAAGTAGGAACGAAAGAAGTTGAGGAAAGAGAAAACAATAAATAAATAAATAAATAAATAAATAAGTCTTCATGGACTTTGATTACATTTTATAGTACATTTCTTTTAAACGCGTTTTCGTAGAGCAAGAGGAAATACCGAGTTTTATTTTGTTTTTGGTTTTTTGTTTTATTTTTTTAACCCACTTTTTGCTATTCTGCAAGCTGCAGCATTCTCGCTGTTACAGGAGGAGATGACAGGGAAAGGTATTCTCTACCCTCACCTCTTGCCTTGTTGCCTTACCAGTTGGCAGATTCAAAAGTTAGACCCTTTTCTAGAAACCTTCGTTGGTTTTATTTTGCTTTGGACTTATGCTTCTGTTCTTCTGTATCCCTCCACCCTCGATTCTCGCGACCCTCCCTTTCTCCACCGTGCTTGCCATTCTCCTCTCCTGTCTGTTAATGGGACTCGGCTATTGAATTTCTTCCAGCCCAGCCCAACCTCAACACTGCATCGTGTGTGTGTGTGTGTGTGTGTGTGTGTGTGTGTGTGTGTGTGTGTGTGTGTGTGTGTGTACTGTACACAAAACCAAACTAATTGAGCCGGGTACACAAAATCGGGGGCCAAACTAAGTTTTCCCCCTTCTAAACCTGCTCTCTTGTGTGCCTTCACATTCCTTCGGTCCGGTTCTGTATTTTGATGGAAATCTCTTCTCTGTCCATCTGCATATTCCCTGGTGGGTGGCGAGAGATGTCCTGGGCTGGCTGATACAATGGTGTGATGGGAGAATACTAAAGACTGGCAAGGGAAAGAAAGCAAGACACACTAAATGGTCTCAGAGGTCATTGTGATCATGACAGATTGAAGCAAGAAAAAGCTGAAATGCCCTGAAAACTAAAACATTCAGCATGCACTACAGGGACAAAAGGCAGCCCTTATAATATGGCAAAAGAGCTCCTTAATTGTGTGTGTTTGCATTTGGAGAAACATTTGACAGTCGTGGGGCTAGGTGTAACATTTAAAACAGGAATCATTGGGTGAGAGTTTCCTGCTGTCTTTCATAGGTGGTCTCTTCATCCGAAACACAGACCAGGAATATACTGCTTTTAGACTGGCAATCTTTCTTCACAACACCAGCCCTAACGCATCTGAAGCTCCTTTCAATTTGGTACCTCATGTGGACAACATTGAGACTGCCAACAGTTTTGCTGTGACAAATGCCTGTAAGTAAAATATAAGTTACAGCTAAATTGGAAAAGAACTAAAATGAACTAGTGGGATTTCTTTCTTTTAAAGAATTTTCTAGAAAAAAAATACAGATCCAAACAATGATGTTAGAAAAAAAATCATAGTTAAAAAGATTTAGTCTCCTTCCTTTCTTTCCTCCCTTCACTCCTTCCTTCCCTTCTTCCCTCCTTCTTCCTTTTTTTCCCTTTCTGCCTTTTAATTTCCCTGCCTAGATCACATAAGCTGAATTTTCCTGTAACGTTTAGTATTGTTCCTGTCTTCTGAATGCTATACTCAGTTTAGTCTTTTATTCCAACCTTTTGGGTTCTCCTTCTTGATTTTCACTGAAGTAAGTGCCTGTCTTCCTTTTAAAGAAGCCATATGCTCTTCCCAGTAGTAAAAGCCATGGTGAGGATGCCAGAGAGTAGTGATGTGGAAAATACATTTAAGTCAGCCAGTAGATACTACATAAGATCCAGTGATGTCACTGGAAGCTGCTCTGCCCTCATGTTTGAGGTTGTAAATGTCTCTTGCTATCTTAATGGATGTCTGTTCATGGAACTCCATGAAGTCCTACCCTATTACCCGTAATTTTAATCTCTGATATACCTGGATTCTAAAAACAACCCAACTGAATCTTCCACATAATGAAACTAAATGGGTGACCCCACAGAATGCTACCAGAAACAGTAGTACAGATGTCCCCCATCAAGATTCTGTGGAACTTGATGTAGACGTAAAACACTAAGATGCAATCCATATATGGCACTGCACTGGCTTTGGGTTCTTTAAGTGTGAGCATGTTTGTTTCAGATGCTACCTCAGTTTTCTGTGCATATCTACTTCTGTATTACAACAATGTTTCTGGATTATCTGAGATATATAAAAGCGGTTCCTACATAAAATGGTATGTGCTTTGTTTCTATTACACCAAGTCTGAAAATCTTTAATTAAAAATTGTTAGGACAAAAAATAAACTCAATAAAGAAAGAAGTGTAACAAAAATAGGTTTAAGCAAAGAAATCTTTCTATTTTATGAACTACAGTGTTTGCATTCATATTTGTTTGTCATTAATTCACTTACCAGATAACACAGTGATTATTTTGGAGCTCTGTTTACTACTGCAGTTTAGAACTCAATTTCCTGAAGGTGTTGAAGCTTTTGACAGTTTTACAAAATGTTCTTTTTTTTTTTTTCGTCAAGACTCCGATACTGTAAGTTCTACTTGGTGATTACTGCTTGTTTGTTTCAGTTGGCAATAAAATTATTATTAAAGCAAAGGGGGTTATTTTAAGCCAAAATGTGTGTGAATTATACGTAGGTTTGTGGATAGTTATCTATAAATTTTATGAGTTATTTTCAGCATATGCCAAGTATTAAATGAGATATCAACATTTCACACAATTCTACTCGAAGCATTCTCTTTAAGAGCGATTGTTATTTATTTATTTATTTATTTATTTATTTATTTATTTATTTATTCTTAGTTTATATTTATCTGGTGACTCTCCTAAGATTTTTTTAAAATGTTACCAGCTTGGAAACCAATTCTCCAAATATATTTGAGGATAGATTATCCACATAAATTACATTTGAATAGTATCACTTAATTTTGAATGAGTTTCCTAAATGTTGTAGGACACTGTAATTTGTTTTCACAAGCTAGCATCTTAAAAGCCAGAATGGCTGCACAATGACATTCAGCTTTTAAAACTGTAAAGAGCTAACTCTTTATCTAGACCGTCAGTTAACCTCACGGACTATCATTTTAACCAGAAGTATTTTCGTTATGTAACAAAATATGCATGAAGTGAAGTGGTGGTGGCCAAGTAATAGTAAATTGAGAATGTGGCAGCTGGTTACATGATAATAGAACTTTAAAAGTATAAGATATAGAGAATGTTCTTCCTACAGGCGAAGATTGAGGGGACTAAAACAAGTAACTTTAGAAATATCCAAGTTTCGCACAGTGTGAATTTAAATGTTTTTTTCACATTCATATACAATTGATTCTATGTAGATGCTTAATAATCAGTTTAAAAGCAAATTGTAATTAAGAAAAAATGTTTTCTAGTGAAAAAAAAAGGAATATTTATTCTTGATAAATGACTATACCAAATGCCCTTTAGATAAATCAAAACTGCATTTGGTTGCAGGTGGTAGAGAATATAGGTCAGGTGTCTGGTGCTTATTGAATAGAGTGACCCAAAACATATACGCATATGATTACACTGTAATTAAGCATAAATCCTGAGCAGTGACAATATGTTGAGCTAATCTGTCAAACTTTATGCTGTTTAGTACCAAAGAGTAAAAACAGACCTTGAAGTTTAGTAATATGGAAATTTGGCATGAGGTTTATTTTTCTCTTTGTAATGGCAGAGGTTGATTTGCAAACTTGTTACTTTGGAATGAATATAAATAATAACATTTGTTACACTCTATTATAACTGTAGTGTTCTCATACTGAATTTTATCAACTCACACTTCTCTGTATGACTAAGGAATATTGGTCAAGGTACATTTAATTTCTTTTATGGAAACTATACTCACACAAAAAACAGACTTAAGAATAAAATGTGTTAGTTACATGTTGAAAAGACATAATTTAATGCTGGTTATCAGGACCAAAATTAAATTAGTCTTTTAAGAAAGCTGTTTAGCACTAAACTACTAAATGTATAGAGTTCACCAGCTTGTAAACCTGGACATGATTAATTAAAACAGAGCAACTTGGGGGATATAAATTCCATATTGCCGAGGAAGCAGTAATCTTATTATTAGCCATATTTTATCTTCAGCAGTATTTAAATTCAGTTATTGCTTTTCATTCTTAAGTATTTATATTGATAGAAATTCAAATTTCACTGGATATTATAAAGGAAATTAGATGTACAGATACTAAAACTATAACCATTTTCAATAACAAGAAGTTTAATAAGTAGCACTTTCACTCAAACATTTAGTGTCATTGGATATGCACACTATTTCATTATTGTGATCCATACAAAGCACACAAGATGATGCAAACAGATATTTCAGACTTACATAATCAATATTCTCTGTGTTTCTTAGTTGAAATCTTTAAATAAATGTACTTTGTATAAATATCAATATAACTCTATCTGTAATAATTTGATAATGTTCTACAAAACATTTAATACAACACACAACAGCCTAACTTTGCAGATGTATTTTTCACTATTTAATAAATATTTAGCTTGGAGAATAGATTTATTAAATTTTTCCAAAACTAGTAAACAAACTACTATACTTGTCTATTACCAAAAATTTTAAAATACAGAAATGCTTGAGATATTATATCATGAATTTAAATTATCTATAGAAAAAAAATCTCATGACCAATCACTTGACGAATCAGCCACTGTGGTATCACCTACCTTCGTCCTGTGTGTGGAGTGATGCTTAAGTTAAAGATGGACATTGGGAACCATATGATAAACCAGATACATAGCCAAACACCATACAGTTCTAGACTGTTTCCCACTTTCATAATCTGTGGAGAGGACTATCTGATCGGTATTTTTGTTTACCTAGTTTTTAGTGGTGTCTGTATTTTGTTCTACTTCTCTGCCTAGACAGTCTGATCAATTGATTATCAGATGATGACAGAGAAGTTGCAAACATTGAAGAATTATATATTATACTATAATAACTATGAAGAAAATAGTTTGGTTTTGAGATAGTATAGCACTCTTGTAGCACATGCTAACTTATAATTCAAGATCCTACTGCCTCAGCCTGTCTAAATGCTGGCATTAGAGGTGTATGCCACCATACCTGATATCATTCACATCTTTTTTCTTTTTCTTTTCTTTTTTCTTTTCTTTTTGTTTTTTTTTTAAAGGCATGGTTTCTCTGTATAGTCTGACCTCAAACTCACAGAGATCCATCTGCTCATGTCTATTCTTTTATCAAAGGTAAATCTAACTTCTTTTTTTGGCCAATTTACTTATAAACTTGAAATATTCGAGGGCAATGGTAAAAGTAACAGGATACATAGCATACAGTTGTTTAGTTTATTTAAATCTACAGAGAATATGAAATTACAAACAATATGCTTCATATGAGTTCCCTCTTATGCATTAGTGAAAGCACATGGAGGTTAAGGGTGCCCTACTGTAAAATCTGAAGTCCTATTCAGCAATGCTTAAATATTGCTTCTTGCTCTTTACTTTTAGATACCAGGTCTTATTAAAGATAAGAGACTGAATTAGGCTGCAATAATACTCCTAAGCAGGCTGAAGGTAAATTTTTATCTTTCAAAAAAACGATATAAAATAAACAATATAATTAAGAGTACTTGCATTTGGTTTTAGAAAAATTAGTTACCAGACTGTGATTCACTAGACTTTCATGGTTTGAATTGATATAAACAACCTACATTGATTTGAGGTAATTTTTTTAGGCTCAGTAATTTTTTTATTCCCCTCTCTTCCATTTTAAGTTAATGACAATTATGAGTCTCCTGGCTTCAGTTGTGTCTTTTGCAAATGACATGACATTTTATAATTTATAAAATTTGTAATTGATGTATTTCAGAGTGGTTACGTGAAAAATTGTGAAACGTTCACAAACTGTAGAAAACTCTACTTTTACCCAAACTGGTGTTTTCTCAAGTTCTGTTTATTTTGGGAAGAGGAAAAGTATGTTGACTTCCTTCCAATGAGAAATCATTTGTCCATCACCTATCTATCATTTACCTACCTATCAATAAGTTATTTCTCTATATCGTACGTACAGAGGAATTTCATCATCTTTCTGGATTTTCAAGGCAAATTGTACATTAAGTGTTACTTTATGTCCTGAGACCATGCTCTAGTTTTTGGACTACTTTCATATAACATGATTTAATTTTCCTCAAATCAACATTTCATTAAACAGTCTGGGAAGCCAGGCCTCACTTACATTTTAGCTTTATATCTTCTGGCTCAAAGTAGTTTCGCTGCTTGTCTGAGACTTTGTAGGTGTTTT